TTTAACTATTTGTTTGTTTGCCTACTTGCCCAACTACCTGCAATTCCCTTAAGCCATTGGCATCAAGTAGATGCAATGTCCTCTATAGCTTTGTTTATATATTAATCACTTCAGAACACTTCAGTCACAAAAGCCTACTAAGCCTACCTGATCTCATCTGTTAACCTTATTGAATTTTCAGGTAGAAATGTACTAACATTATCAGTATTATTAATAGTATTATCACTGACATCATTAGCCTCCAGATGATGTGGGGTTCATGTCATGGCTGACATGGTCATGGCTCCAGGGTATATGTTATTCCTGTAAGGCTGACATGACAGGTCATTTATATCATGGTACTATGGTGTATGTCACATACCCTGACACATTGCCTAAAGGAGAAATGGATGTGTAATCCTCTGATTAGCTACTGTTTTGTATAAAAGTGATGATATTTAGCACATTAATTTTTTACTGCTATCCCTAGAAGATGTCTCACACCAAAAAATTGTGCTCTGTTACTGCTGCTGTGAACCTGTTAGTAGCCTTCACTCTAGTTTACATAATATCTCCTTGTGTCAACTACTCACACTACATATGGCACTATGCCAATGTAATTGTCTTAGAGTATGACACATAAAAGGGAAGTACTGAAGCTGTGGGAGTAGCAAGCCTTGCATTTAACTGCATACAATCTCATATTTTATAAGAATAACAGATTGTGAAAGAGGGGAAATCCTTTTAACCCTCTACTAAACCATATTCATTCTTTAGGCAGAGTGTAACACATCTAATCTATTGAAATGGACTCAAATGTACATCATCAGGCTATTACAGGTTCGATCCAGCAACTAAAATGAATAACATGCATCTCTGAATATGCATAAATATTAAAATCTCTCTTTGGGTACAAGTACACACAGATACCAAAAGAAATTACGCGGCATACAGCCTGAAATAGTCCCTGGAGGAAACTCTAATTAATCATACATATATTCTGGAGTCGAGGCCTCAAATTCAGTATCTATGCTATTATCACTACTATTAATGACATTATCATTATCTTAATAACATCAGCAATACTTATAGCAATAACAACAACAAAAAAAAGAAAATTCAAGGAATAAGGTATAAAAGTAAGATCAAGAAGGCCAATATTCTTTTAACAGAAAGCACTTGTAGAACCATCTTTGTGTAAATTAATCAATAAACTAAAATCACAGTAGGCAAAGCAAGTATAAATCCCTTCCCAGCATTATCAGTTTAAGGAGACTGTCTTGTCTCTGAATGGCTAAGGTCCCAATTTCTTATACTAATAAGTCTTTTCAAATATTTTTTGGGTAGAAAATAAATGTTTGCAAGTACTAGGCTCTGTTACATATAAAAAATGTGTTACAAAGGCAAAACTCACACTCCATACTTTTCCTCTAATGTATGTTACACAGATTTGCAAATTGGACAGAAAGGAATGGAAATGAGACAAAATAAGTTATATGTAGGCACTTTTGCACACGTGATAACTAAAACTGTTGTAAATATAGGAAAAATAAAAATAAAATAATAAAACAAAAAAATCACAAAGAAAACAAAAGGATTTCACCACTGATTTTACTTGAAAATACTTGCAATATGCAGCCGAACGAATGCTTTTGTTTGATTCAGTTTCAAGGCTGGGTGAGGATGAGGATTTTTGGCAAAATAGGATGAAAATGGCAAAAACAGCCTGGCACAAAGTATTGCAACAATTTTAATATATAACTGAATTAAAAGCAGTCAGATAAAGACAGTCTAAAATAGCTTAGTGGGCTGTAGATTGAATAAAATAAGAAGTGTCTAAAATAATGTAAAAAAAATAAATGCAGTTTTCTCAAAACCATTTTCTTATGTTCAGTCGGGTAAAACTGTTTGAGCCAGACACTTTAAACTCAATGTAGGTAAAGTATGATAGAGGAATTGGTGCTTGTTCTGCCTGTGTGTTTTTTTTTTCTTTCATTTCCTTCCTTTTTTTTTTTTATTCTCTGCAAGGCATTTTTATATGTAAAGCAAGCTTACCAACTTTGAGTGCATGGTAATAAAAAATGAGAAAGGAAATACATCTGGCGGTATCAATTTATCGATTTTCACTCTGCAGCCTGTAGTTGGAATCTTGAACTTAAATGGTATTGCTAGACCACACGCATGAAAAAATAACAATTTGTTTCATTTCTGCAGGCATTTTTTGTTTGTGAGTTCTAATGGTCCAATTGGCCTAACAATGGGCAAGGCAATTTCTGCACAGGAGAATAAAAGAGTAAAAAGCAAATCCTCTCACTAAAAAAAAAAAAATCAGATATTGAAAAGTTTGCTACTAATTTCTCAAGAATAGGGCCCAAACATGAGGTACCAAAGACTCTTTTTTTTCAAAATATTATCACCTACTTTGATCAGAGTAACAGTGATATAACAAGTATGCCCAAAAATGAAAATATGAAATTAAATTTGAGATCTTACCACCAAAACTGGGCAATAATGTTTCTTTTCCTAGCTCCCCTTTGGTGATGAAGCACCCGCTTGTTCAGGCTACCATTAGAGTTCAAACTTTTCACATTCAGGAACAGATAGGCCTACCCACATGTATTGAGATCAAGGTTTCAATACACAAAAACATATGTCAACTTAATCCATGCAATGCCTCTGCTCATGGATGGCAAACTCAATCTTTCTTTAACTCAATGCTGCTAGGAAAATGCTGTGCTCACTTTTTTTTTGTGTGAAATGCCTCTGCACACAATTGGCTCTGTTGTTACTTAGCCACGAAAGGAGTCAATTAGTAGACCTTGTGAGCTTACCTGATTTCACCTTTCCTTGAACTGGTGGGAAAAACTTTTTTTTTTTTACAAATGCTATGAATATTGATGGTGTTATTTTTATTATTGACATTATAATTGCTATAATGTTATAGACATTAATAACAGTAATATAATATAACATAAAATATTTCCGAAAATCAAGGAAAAGGGTAAACGGGCGAGACGGGCAGTACTCGTAATTGGCTCACTGGTGACTTAGTACAAGTGTAGACATCTATATGTAAATACAAATAATAAAGTAAACTCACAGTGGGTATGGTATGTACACACTTGCCATGCCTCTTGGATTTGGGTTAATGTGATACTAAAAGAGCTCAGAGCCTAATTGTGAGAGCAACAATGCAGCACCTTTACTTGAATCTCAACAGAGCAATAATCATTTCATCAATTCCTCTTTCCCATTTCTTTGTCAAACCCTGCTTAGTTCCACTGTTAGTACTTTTTTGGGAGGGATGGGGGTGGGGCACTGCAAAAGAAAATTACAAATCTATTTGGTAATGAAACAGATGTTACCCAAACTAAGAGAAAATGTATATCATTTTCATATTTAAGGCTATACCATTCAAATTCCAATTAAATATGACCCACAACTTAACCCAGTAACAATGGGTAAATGCACTGTCCACTGTGGTTTGTTTTATCAATTTTATTTACATACAGATGGCTTCATAATCATTCACTCACCATGGATTCAATTATTAATGCTACCTTATCTCCCCTGCTTACAACATTACTTAACTTTTTTGGGGAAAAAAATGTTTCTATTACTATCATCATCATTACTGTTATCATTACCATCATTATAACTTATCAGCAATAAAAGAGGTGATAATAATAAAAATCTTTCCTTTTCCAAAAATTAAGGAATTGGTTAAATTAGTGAGATCAAGTAGTAATAGACTTTCTGGTGACTAAATGCTTCTGGAGGTATCTATGTGTGGAGGAAAAAATTAAAGTGGACAGAGTATGCATACATGCCTTTCCAGCATTAAAAAGTCTTTTACCTAATAAGCCAGAAAACACTTTAAAAATATAATACAGTATTTATGCAGTATTTATAATGTATTTTCCACCTATGTCAAAATATATATATCATTCTAAATATAATGAATGTTATGTTAGTTTCTATTATCTAATTAACTTTTTTGCTTTTTTCTTGCAAATAACCTTTCGGAGTCTGTAATTGCATTTTTTCTCATATATTTCATTCTTAACAATCTCCAAACCATAAAATTCTTGACCATAAAAGAGAAATAAATACCTATATTTAATATTCTCTACTCTTTTTCTGTCTGCATATTTCTATATCTAGATCTATCTACTTTTTTCTTTCTCAACTATATTTACTTTTCTTTTATAATGTGTTAATTTGAACTGAATATCTAAATTCTAGAAAATCCTGAAGGCATTAACTACCAAAGTATTTTTCAATGCATGTTTCTGTTATGTAATCTCTAAGTTTTCTAATTATTCAATCATATATCATTTATCATGAAGCTCTCAATTACTTAATGTCACTGCTAAAACTCTACTACCATATTTACTCTTTAGTAAGCAGCCTTTTTCTCCCTCCTAAAAAGGCATATGCTTTTTGGTAGCAATATGACATATCTGTATTTTACTCACTTATTTTTGAACCAATGCAACTCTAAGAAAGTTGATTGTAAAACTTTTCTTTAGAGCATAACAAAATTGTGACACCAAACATGAGATCAATGTATAAATACAAGAAGCCATCACCATTGATAATGCAATGTAAATATAAATTTATATGTCCCCTCTGTTATCATACAAATTAATATATATCACATGATATATGATGAAGGCTGCAAGATGTAACAACAGCAATGCTGTTATGGGAAACATTGGCTAATTACTAAATATGAAGATTATTTGTTTCAAAATTCATCTCCAAGATGTAGTGTATATTTTCCCAAATATATACTAAATTTGCAGATACACTATATTATATCTGCAAATAACAATAGAGGCCAGCCTAATTTTGAGTAAACAAGGTACATACAATATATAGTAAACAATAGCAATACCTACACAGGGATCATGACTTGAAAAGCACAGAGCAAAGAAGTATACTGCAAAAGCTCAACTCTACTTTGTAAACTCCAAACACAAGTGGCTAATATTACTGCAACTGCCAACATTACTCACATGGTGTCAGGAGCAGCAGCTTTGTCTTCCGGTGGTAGGTCCACACTGGGGTTCAGGTTGTCTTCACTTACAGCATGTGCTAAAGTTGCTAGTAGGGTCAGAACACGCAATAATATTGCCTCATTTGTTTCTGGAACAACTAATGAGCTGAGTTTCCTTGGACCCTGAAATATTAAGATGTAAAGAAACTCAATCCTGTCAAGTCAACATCAATATAATCATTTCTAATGTCATTTATTATATCTTACTGCAATCATATTTTGTATTTAAGTAGAAAAATCCAAAACATACAAAACAGCACTGGGATATGAAAGAATGACAGTTTAAAATAATGACTGTGAATATGAAGACATGACAAGTTTTACAGGCAGAAATATCATAAGAGATAAAAATGCCTTGCCAACTAGTAAAAGTCAGTACATGCTCAATGTACAATGCTAGTAAGAAAAGTTTTAAACTTTCTATTTTTTCAATCAAAGTACTATTCCTGAGTCAAAAATCAGATACCTTGCTAGAAACTTTTATATCATTCAGCAAGTAATTCAAGTTACAAAATATTTTTTTCATTATTTAACATTCCAGTTTATTTTTTCCTCAAATACTCTTTATATTATCAAGATGGCAGAAACTGCAATGCACAGTAGCATTTGAGTTAGCTACTGTATTAGTTGTCCTGTATCACATTCAAACAAATTATTGTATTACATCAGGCAGTGCCTACTGTTTCAAGCTATAGATATTACCAGCAGCATATATATATAATCCCACACTGTGTTACAGATTATGTTTCTGATCATTACTTCCTACTAAAAACCTGACAGCCTACCTACCCACCTATCTACTTCAGAGCTCTGTCTATCATTCCTTTTTTAAATAAAAAACAAATAAGATGTGGTACAAAATACCAAGTAAAATCATGATAGCACTGAGATGTTACTGCATAATACATTATCATTTTAAGAATACAACATGACATAATATCAATTCACAAAAAAATGGAGTTATCAAAGATTATTGGGTATCTCTGTTTTAAATTCAAATAAAATTTTACTCTACATCACAAATACTAAAATAATCAGACCCTACATCTTTCAATCAAAATAATTCTATCAAGTATCTAACTAATCAAATCAATGACTTGTAGATGGCATAATGGCAGGTACCAAAGCTGGAGGCAAAAGAGAAAAAAAGGAACTTTTCTCAATATTTTCACATCAATGATATATAAAATATAAAACACATCTCCTTTACATTAGTTGCCATTCAAAGATGATATATGTAAGCAAGACAGAAACTGTTAAATATATTGCTGTGATAAATGAGGTAAAATTACCATGTATCTCCACATAAGTTACCAGACCATGACAGGAAAAATCTACCTCTGCTGCAAGCAGTGAAGGAATCATCTCTCTGTTGCATGACAAGTTGACCAGTAATCTGAGACTCTGAAGCTGGATGTGAGGGTTGGGGCTGTCAACCAGGTGGTAGAGTCTGTTTTGACAAGGCACATTAATAGCATTTAAATATTTACTATAGAATAAATTTTAAACTTCACTATTTCTAGGCAGACAAATATATACAAATGCAACCCTATTTCGTTTACCTGTGAAGCAGAGGGCAATAATCTTCATGCCACTCACTAATAGTGGCAATGTTTGTAAGAACAACTAGAGAAGCTAAGCGTAGAGCATCATCACCATGACTATTCTGCACAAAGCCCATTAGAATTGGAAGGCAATCCTGAAAATAACAAATAAAAAACATTTAAGAAATAAAAACATATAATAAACATATCATTGTTTGGGTTCAATAATTCAATATAATAATATGAAAATTCAATTAGTCACATGATCTAGATCATGAAATTACCCCTTTCTACAAGAAAAATGTTATACCTTGGCTTGGCGTATATTTTCTTCAGACAAAACTACATTTCCCAGAGTTTGTACAGCTGGTAATCGTACTTCATTATCTTCTAAGAGGGTTGTTAGACGATGAATACAGCCAACCTCTCGCAAAAAATCCTGCAAGACAGGGCCAAAAGTTGATCAAGTTGCACATTATTTACACTTTTATACCTCAATATCACCAAGGAAATTCTAAAAAATTACAATAATTTCTACTAGATATATTAATAATGAATACTAAGCACTATACTAACTGGATGTATTTTCAATTATGTAAAGAAAAGAAAAATAAACAAAATATTCATAATTTGCTTTTACAAGGTAAATATTAGTACACAACTTACAAGATTAACACTAAATGCTGCACAGTTGGCAATTGTTACAAGAGCTCTTTCTACAAGTGATTTATCTTCAGAGTACAGGAGAGCAACCAAACTTTTAGCTTCATATGGTGTTAGAACTCTGAAAAGCATAGTAAAAATAGACATTATAAGTAGGAAGACTGAACTTAATCTGTCTAAAAGATATGATGCAGCCATTAATAATTTCAGAAATATAAACAAATGTGCTGTAAAATCAGTTTTCAATATCAG